ACCGGGAGGAGGCCCCGGGGAAGACCCAGGACAAGCTGGAGAGACTATGTTTCTCGGCTGGGAACGCCTGGGAACGCCTTGGGGTTCCTCCTGAGGAGCTAGAAGAAGTGGCTGGGGAGAGGGAAGTCTGGGCCTCCCTTCTTAGGCTGCTGCCCCCGTGACCCGACCCCGGATAAGCGGAGGAAGATGGATGGATGGATGGAGAAAACTTTGAATCAATTTGCATGTATGATCTGGTTGAATTGTCTCTGTGCCTTGAGATGACGTGTTGTGAATTGGCGTTAAATAAATAAACGGAATTGAATTTCTCAAAAAGCGTTTATTTAAAAACAACAAGTTGTCAATGGGCAGCTAGGGCATCTAAGGCAGGAACCTCTGCAGGAGGAAAACACAGGTTATTGACCACAATAATCTGGTGGAGGACGATTAGCGACACAGAGGAAAGAGAAAATGAAACAGATTCTTTAAAATTTATAACTGAATTATCTAATAATAATCTGCTAAAGTAAAACCATTTTTTTTTGGAAGGAAACTCTTTAAAGCACTTAACCACTCTCTTAAGGTTATTAAAAAGTAGTCAAAGAGGAGAGGGTTGTGAGGAAAAACAGTTATTTCCCCTTACGAAACGAAAATATATTTAGCAATATATTACTCAAAGTATATTGTAATATATTTTTACCACAAAACATTTCCAATATATTATGTTCTTTATACATGGAAATATATATTGACAAAACATATATTTTGCAATATATAATATATTGTGGTAATATATTGCAATATATTGCAAAATATACAAATGATTGCCGGTTTCAAAATATTGACATATATTTAACATGGATATATATGTGTTTATATACCAAAAAATATATTTAATTTTATATTTATAAATATCCTCCATCATGTATTGCAATTTTATATGGTAAAATGTATTGGTAACATATACATACACACACACACATATTTATATATAGTGTTACATGCATGTTTAATATATGGCAAATGCATTTTACATGTATGAAGAACTAAATGAAAATGTGGAAAATATGTATTTATATGCTATTTATAGGCCTATTTGCTGATTTTACAAAAAATTGCCTTTTAGATGGTTTTAGCATTTACATTATCTTTAACCAATTTAGGCCTAAAACGCCTGGAAAAAACACCTTAAAAACCTATGGCCGATTTTAAAAAATACCCCTAAAACCTGAAGTTTTTCTGTAAATTCAGCAACTGTGTCAACACCTAGTAAATTATTGATATCTCAGCTTCTGTAGCAGATAGAACTCAAAATATATTTTATCTTTGAAATTCTTCCAAAAAAAAAAAAAAAAGTGAAAAGCAGTAATCAAAAAAAAAAAAATTCAACCTTTTATTTTTTCCATATGTGATCATGTCTTCATTGAGAATGTGCAATATAAAACGTTTTTAAAATAAAGAACAAACATTACATAAATAACTATCTGATGATTACTTATTAACAGTATTATTATGCATAATAATGCATATGTCTGTGTTATAAATTGCATACAATTTACCTCCAGATGGCCACAAATCTGTCCCGGGACATATTTTGGGGGAACTGCGTCCTGAAGAGAGGTTTACTCTGTCGCCAATAATCTCTTCGTACAGGCAACACAAGAAGTCTCATGCCCATACACAGCCCAATAAATTTCTTCATCTCCGTCACAGTCACGGGTGACCACTTTGCCATCTTTGCTTTTGTTGGAGTTTGGTTTGTTTGGTCACTGTACCTATTCGTCTCGGTAACAAGATACATCCAAAGTTCTTCATTAAAAATATGCTCAAATGCCTGCAGCGGTGTGGCGTCTGCAGGCAAATCAACTTTCACTCCAGGTGTGCGGTTGAAAACACTCCGTGCATTGCGGTGGTAGTTCGATTGGTTCAGCGCGTTCAAAGTCATCATTTTCATCTATACCGTCATCAAAGCCGACACACTCCTCAAAATCACTGCCTTCCGACACTCTTCTCTGTCAAACTCCTCCATGTTTGCTTGAAAAAAACTTCTTTCTTCTTGCTTGACTTATATGCTCTCCCGGCGTCAATGGTAGAATTACGCAACAGCGCCCCCGGCTTGAATGGTAGAAATGCGGTAATGCTTTCCCGGCCTAAATGGGTTAATACAAGTATTACAGGCTCCAGAATCGCATATAAGTCTAACTGCCTGTCCATTAATTGCTAGAACTATTCATGTTTTTGCTTTTAATGCATTTAATATCCCCCATTGTCAGGTCTAAGCACCTAAAACATCATACATACATATAGGGAAAGAAAGAAGGCACAGAGACAATTAATTTAGTTACTCGAGGAGAGTAGGAAGGGACTGCAGAGTTTACAATCTCCAACCCACTCTGCAGTCTTCAGCTTTCTCCTCGCCATTTATTGAAGAAAAGGGGATGTCCTTAATTACACCAGCTGAGGTTTAACTGTCATGTTGGGGTCTAAGCGTCTAACCCACATACAGAAACACTCAGCAGACAGGGAAAAAGTTAAATGGTTTATTTACAAAGTTTACAGTGAAATGCGAACGGGGTCATGGCTCGTCAGACTGGTCACGGGAGGGAAGCAACTGAGGAGGACAGATCGGTTAGAGTAGATCCAGGAAACTTGCAGTTTAACGGCGACATGGATTAATACCTGCTCAGAGGGTATTCTGATCAGCAGGAGGGGAACCTTGTGGGTCTAGAGGCTGGTCGGCAGGCTGAGGGCTGAGGCACAGACGGAGGCTGAGGCGGAGGGCAGACAGGCAGGTTCCAGGCAGCGATTGTCTTCTCCAGGATTTGACTGATATCCAGATAAGTCAGGATCTGAGAGGCAGAAGAACACAGGGTCAGAGTAGTTCACAAAAATCAGAGAAACAGATCAGAGAAGCTGGCTCAGGTTTTGCTGGTACCATTACTGGCAAACACTCTGGCAGGGAAGTGTCATCCTCCTCCTCCTTAAGAAGGCCTCATGATGAGCAGATGGGAAACAGGTGTGTAGAAGTCAGCTAACGCCCTCAGGAGGAAGATCTCAGGCGCCCTCTGGTGGAGAAAGGTAGACAAGCCTCCAGATCCCAACATTAACTAAGGGAAAGGGACCTTTAAACCTCAGCACATTTGTTAAAAACAAAGCAAGTGGTTGTTTTACAATTAAATTGTTCCAAGAACACATGTTTAGAAGAAACATGTGATAGAGGCTGTTCAGGTCTCTTCCACAACCTGTCCGTTTCATGACCTTTATCTGGAACAATCTTAAGCAAGAGTTAATAAAAGATGAATCACACATTATACATCATAATAGTTCATTGGAACATGTTGTGATTCTATAGTTAAATTCTATTCCCAGCCCGCTGGGAATTTATGTTTCTGATACTTTAAGATGTTTATTGCCCTCCCCTGTAGGGGTGGTCAAATATCTTATTTAATCAGATATTATTTCAGCTGTTATATACTGTTTATGACACACAGTCCTACTAACTGTGTGTTAGAACAATAAATGAAAGAGTGATTCGAGCACTAATCATGGTCAAACAGTTATTTCTGCACATACATGGAATAAATTCACCACAACTTCTGTTCAAAATATAAGATTTTATTAACAAAAATCATTCAGCTCCAAGTCAAACATATTTCAGTTTAACACTCTCAACTAAGACTAGTAAAACTCAACTAAACTAAACTAACTACTATGTACAAAGAGGAAGGGGAAAAACGGTTGAAAAACATATTACAGTTTAAGATGGATTCTGTGTTTGAAACCAAAGTTTATCTGGAATAATTTGGGATATGATCAAATTAGCTTTTCACTAATTTTAAAGAAATTGGAATGTTTTCAGACCAATTCACAATGCAAATCCATGAGGTGAATAAAACATTATTTGGCCAAATAATGTTTTATTGAATGATTTGCTTAATCAAGAACCAATAACCTTTAGCTAAATGATTCTTTACCCTCTTTGAAATAGCTAGCAGCGAATAGACATCAGGATTCCACTAAATTACTCTTGGTCATACTTGGTAATGGAAATGTAATGAGCATCTGAGGAACATATGAACACTAATGTTATATCAGTGTTTAAATCCTTAGTGAATAAAGCTTGTCTAAGCTTTAGCAACAGCTCAACACATATTCCTGTAGCATAGCGTAGCATGCAGTCCATTCTTTAGCATCAATTAGCGTTGTCTTTACTCAGCAGTAAACACACGATATGATTAGCATCATCAAAAGACATATTGCTTTTCCTGTCCCTAATCTTGCCAGACCTGCAAACCTTTTTCCATGTCCGTTTGGAAAGCTTGAGTTTCATCCAGTTTTGCAGCTCTGCAGTCAGGGGTTCCTTTGTCTCAGTCTCACGGCAGGGGTCCCCTCAGTCTCACACCAGGGCATGGTCTTCATCCAGTTTGGCTCTGTAAGTTCTGAAACTCAAGAGAAATGTGTTGCAAAGGTTCTGTTTGCAGCAGTTAGGTTCTGAAGAGTTCTGACTCATCCTTGATGGTTCTGGGGATCTGGTTTCCCTGGGGCCTGCATCTCCACTGTGGGCCACAGTGGGCCCCAGCTTTGAGCGCAGGAGCAGAAGCAGGCTGGATCAGACGAGGGAGAAAAAGTGAAGAGGCAAAAGAGAGAAAGAATCCTGTGTGTTCTGTGGTTTTGTTCTGCCCTCACAGAGGGGGGGTAGGTTTTCACACCTCTGTGACTTCCATGTGACTGCTTTGGCTGAAAAAGGGGGGGCTGCTGAAGTACCCCAGCTGTTATTCACCAAAGCTGTGTTTTCTTCTCTGGTCATCCTATCAGGATGAAATATGGACACTGCTTCCCAATGTCCAAAAAGTATGTTCATGGCATATGGCACAACATATCCCCCTTTTGATCTGGAAATAAAAGATGCAGTTCTTTGTTTTCAGATCACAAATAGGTCCATAAAGCCATGATATCTGGAGCGGTGATAAGTCAGGTTCCTGTTGGCAGGAAGAAAGTTCATTTAGGGTTCATATCTTCTCAAGTGTTTGTCCCTGGAGGATTTGTTGCAGGTCTGGCAGAAGCTGACCCTATCTCATCATAAAACAGTTCATTTTCTCCAGAGGTTTTGCATCTGGTTGAAGCAGGTCTGGCAGGAAAGTCTGACCCTGATACACAAATATATACATTCCAAACAAAATTTCCTAACACCTTCATGATGCTGTTGTTCAACCTTCATCATTTCTCAAGTTGTGAAACAAAAGAAAGAAAGGATAAAACACGTTAAAGTATGTTAGAAATTATCAGCAACTATCATACTCTTGGATATGATACGTTTTACCATTAGCTTGGAATTGTAGTACTTTGTTATTGGTCAGAGAAGCCAGTAGCTCTGTAAGAACTGTTTTGCAGATCTGTTCTAAGTTTTCTTTTGTGGTTGTTTCTGTAGCTTGTTGATATCCCCCTTTACCAGTGTAAACCTTTGGTTTTGCATTGTGATGTGAAGGCTTATGACGTTTATCTGGGGGTTCTGGTTTTCGTTCTCTCAAGTCATTAATTCCTTCATCTTGGTGAACCACTGGGGAACTGAATCTGTGTCTGTTTCTCGTCCTGTTCTTTGTTTGAAGGTTAAAGACTCTAAGCTTGCTTTGAAATCTATCTGATTTGAGACATATTTCCCAAACAAGCTGAGCATATCTGCGAGTTTCCTGCATAGAAAGGTTTTCTATCCTGCAATGCATTGCTACGTCATATCGTACACTTTCATGTAGATTTTGGATCAACAATGCTTTAAAGGTGTGATCTTCTTCGTCAATATCTGGAGAACTGCAGCCCTCAAAATAAACCTGTCTCAAGCGAAAGTAATATTCTCTGGGTGTTTCATGTTCTCCTTCGAGAACTAAAGATGCCTCAAGCGTTGCTAACGCCAGATCTCTGTAACCAGAATATTCTTCTCTTAAGGTTTGACAAAGAGCTGAATAACTTTCTCTGATTTTTGGAGGAAGAGATTTTATGAAAACATGGACGCTTCTAGCTGTTGTTTTCCAAATCAGCTTCAATTTCTCATGAGAAGAAGGAAATGGCAAGTCTTTTAGACAGTGCTCAACTTCTTGCAGATAATCAGCTATGTTGGAGTGTTGATTTTCTGGGTCAAAAATATCAATGTCTTTGGCCAAGGATTCAATTTGTTGAATTCTATGGTCACTCGGTGGACCTGGCCCGTCAGGAAGTTGGTTCTGCTCATTAAGTGGTGGGGGGTTTTGAGCTAACCTTTGATGACACAAGGGAGACTGGTTCTCCTCAGAGTTTTTCAAGGTGTGAACTTTGGCACTTGGTGCTCGGTCAGCGGAGAGTGAGACAGAGATTGGTTTGCATGGCTGTCCTTTGCAAAGTTTTAAACTGCTTGAGTTTACCAAGTGATCTACTTGTTTCTCTCTGTCTGCGACACTACTTTGACTTTGAACATCTTCAGATCTATTTATTGTTAACTCCGAGTTTAGAGACTTTGTATCTGCTTCAGGAACTGTTCTCCTTTTGACTGGGGTGACCTCCTGCTGATTCAAAGTCTGCTTGCTTTGTTTATTGCATAGGTCCTCAGAGAGGGGGGTCACCATTTGTTCTGAGGCATGGTCAGTCTGGCCACATGGGTCTTTGATCTTGTCAGCTCCTGACAATAAAATGTTTGCAGCACTTACTCTGTGGCAGATCATCTGATATTTGGCTTCTAACTCAGAGTACTGTTTAGCTTTTATTTGGTATTTAAGCTGATAAAGAAGCGTGAGCTCACAGAGTACATCTGTTATCAGAAAGTTTCCATTTGGGTTTTGAATTAAGTTCATTAATTCTTGAATCTTTTCTTCACATAGGCTGAGGTTAGAATTGTTTAGGTTATCCTGCTTTTCTGAAGATAAGTGGATAAGCTTTGCAACAATTTGTTTCTGTTTCTCTATTCCTATGGAGTCAATTATGTGCCCAGAATTGAGGATGCTTGGATCCATTTTCAGCTGATGGCACAAAAACACAAGTTATGAAGAAATTTCAAAAGAACACAATCCAGTCAGTACCCACTATATTTGTATATTTACATATACATATTGTAAGGACTTATTTTTATGTGTGTAGAAACGGGTCACTGGTTATCTTTAAACCTGTGATATCAAAGAAACACTTTTCTTTCAGTGTTAGAAATGCTACACCTTGTTTAGGATTTACCAGCTATTTTAGCGCATGCTTTACCTGTCTCTGAGGATTTATAAGCAGTTTGGCGCAAAGCTTACCTTTTAAGGACTTACAAGCAATTTAGCTTATGATTCACCCTTTTCTGTGATATCAAAGAAACACTTTCTTTCAGTGTTAAAAATGCTACACCTTGTTTTAGGATTTATTAGCTATTTTAGCGCATGCTTTACCTGTCTTGGAGGATTTATAAGCAGTTTGGCGCAAAGCTTACCTTTTTAAGGATTTACTAGCAAATTAGCTTATGATTCACCTTTCTTTAAGGGATTTTAAGCAATTTAATTTGAATCCACCCCCTTTCGGTTGGGTAGGATCACAGATTAACTTACGTTAAATCTGGCAACAAATCTTGTTCTACACAATATAAAATAAGTGTTTAGGAGTCTTATCAGACTAACAGATAAAGGGATTAAGGTTAAATTTCAAGGCATCTAACCTATTTTGGACTGGAGGTGACTTTGAAATAGCATAACTTGGGAGTTTTCATTTTTGGGATGTGGTTATAGAAACCACAAATGGCAGCATCTAGTTATAGATGTGCATACATTTTGGTCGAACGATAAGATTAACTTGGGTGTTAAATCTTTTAGTTTTAGTTGGACCAAAGTGATCAGATTGATTTGAATCATCTGAGTTTTGCTTTGACGTAAAGTTGGTTATCACTAGCTGAAGAGATATTTTGGATTTACTAGATTTAGTTAAATTTTCTATATTTTGATGCTCCAAGAATGTCAAAGGTTATATTTTCTTCTCATATAAGCTAAGACATTTAATATTGGATTCTTAGGTTGTGACTTTAAGATTTCATTATTGAGTGGTGAGAGCTGATGTTGATGCTTTCACATGGTTTTCAATAATGGCTCTAAGTTTATTCTCATACATGTGCAGAATGACCGTTATATTCGATGACCACCAAACTGAGACACCAATTAAATGTTACATTCAATGAGTCCAGCAGCATGGGACGCTAAATAAATGTTACAATTAATGGGCCCAGCAATCAGGGACGCCATATTTATGTTGTGATTCTATAGTTAAATTCTATTCCCAGCCCGCTGGGAATTTATGTTTCTGATACTTTAAGATGTTTATTGCCCTCCCCTGTAGGGGTGGTCAAATATCTTATTTAATCAGATATTATTTCAGCTGTTATATACTGTTTATGACACACAGTCCTACTAACTGTGTGTTAGAACAATAAATGAAAGAGTGATTCGAGCACTAATCATGGTCAAACAGTTATTTCTGCACATACATGGAATAAATTCACCACAACTTCTGTTCAAAATATAAGATTTTATTAACAAAAATCATTCAGCTCCAAGTCAAACATATTTCAGTTTAACACTCTCAACTAAGACTAGTAAAACTCAACTAAACTAAACTAACTACTATGTACAAAGAGGAAGGGAAAAACGGTTGAAAAACATATTACAGTTTAAGATGGATTCTGTGTTTGAAACCAAAGTTTATCTGGAATAATTTGGGATATGATCAAATTAGCTTTTCACTAATTTTAAAGAAATTGGAATGTTTTCAGACCAATTCACAATGCAAATCCATGAGGTGAATAAAACATTATTTGGCCAAATAATGTTTTATTGAATGATTTGCTTAATCAAGAACCAATAACCTTTAGCTAAATGATTCTTTACCCTCTTTGAAATAGCTAGCAGCGAATAGACATCAGGATTCCACTAAATGACTCTTGGTCATACTTGGTAATGGAAATGTAATGAGCATCTGAGGAACACATGAACACTAATGTTATATCAGTGTTTAAATCCTTAGTGAATAAAGCTTGTCTAAGCTTTAGCAACAGCTCAACACATATTCCTGTAGCATAGCGTAGCATGCAGTCCATTCTTTAGCATCAATTAGTGTTGTCTTTACATATTGCTTTTCCTGTCCCTAATCTTGCCAGACCTGCAAACCTTTTTCCATGTCCGTTTGGAAAGCTTGAGTTTCATCCAGTTTTGCAGCTCTGCAGTCAGGGGTTCCTTTGTCTCAGTCTCACGGCAGGGCTCCCCTCAGTCTCACACCAGGGCATGGTCTTCATCCAGTTTGGCTCTGTAAGTTCTGAAACTCAAGAGAAATGTGTTGCAAAGGTTCTGTTTGCAGCAGTTAGGTTCTGAAGAGTTCTGACTCATCCTTGATGGTTCTGGGGATCTGGTTTCCCTGGGGCCTGCATCTCCACTGTGGGCCACAGTGGGCCCCAGCTTTGAGCGCAGGAGCAGAAGCAGGCTGGATCAGACGAGGGAGAAAAAGTGAAGAGGCAAAAGAGAGAAAGAATCCTGTGTGTTCTGTGGTTTTGTTCTGCCCTCACAGAGGGGGGGTAGGTTTTCACACCTCTGTGACTTCCATGTGACTGCTTTGGCTGAAAAAGGGGGGGCTGCTGAAGTCCCCCAGCTGTTATTCACCAAAGCTGTGTTTTCTTCTCTGGTCATCCTATCAGGATGAAATATGGACACTGCTTCCCAATGTCCAAAAAGTATGTTCATGGCATATGGCACAACAAACACAACCCATGAAACACAAACGGAGTATAAATAAAATATTTCTAACACCCATGCTCCATACACATCTACTATTTTAATGGCTATTCTTATTTGCTCTAGCACTTAGTCACACCTCCTTAACAATTTCCTTAGCAATTTCCTTAACAAATCTCTGCCTTTTTTATTTATTTTTAATTTATTTATTTATATATGTATATATATGTATATATATATATATATATATATATATATATATATATATATATATATATATATATATATATATATATATATATATATATATATATGTGTATGTGTATATATAAATATATATAGTTGTTCTTTTTTCAGTGGGGGGAGCGGTTGCGGGAGGGTTGGTGTCTGGTGTCCACTGTCGCATTGTGGGGGCTTTTCTGATTGGCGTTTTTTTGGGGGGGGGGATTGGCATGTCTGTTTTCTCGGGGGGCGGGCGGCCCCGTTGGGTTGGGGTCCTGCTGGCGATGCGCCGCTGGTGTGTGGGGGGTCTGGTTGGACCAAACTGGCCCCGTCCTGCGAAGGGGGGATGGCTGTCGACAGATTCTTGGCCTTGGTCCCACACGGTCCTGGACGGTCCTGGACAATTGGATCTTGACTCCCGGGTTTCGGCACCAAAAATATTGGGTTCAAAAATGTAGGTCTGTAAAAGAAGAACTGAAATACACAGTAATGGATTTTCATATAGCTTCTGCAGAAGGAGAGACAGTTGAACCCCAGACTCAAACACACTGTCTCCCACCGGACCTCCTCCGCAGAGCGTTTTATTAACAGAACATGACACATGGTTACAAACAGAGTATTGTTCTGACAGAACAATTGATCAGTTCATAAAGACAGGATGCTCCCCTCTTGACTGAATCACAAGGCAGTGTGGTCTCATGACTGAATCATGAGACAGGAGTGGAGCATCTCATTTCTACAATGTTTCATATGAACACACATTACTTTAATAATCATCATTGAATAAACCTAACAGCTGCCCTGTATGACTGCACAAATTATTTGCATGTTATTTCAGTATAACAGTTTATTAGATAGAAAACTGCAGCAGGATGTGAAAGACTTGTCTGAGACAGGAGCTAGATCTCTCATCTCTAATGAGAGAGGGAATATTATTGACCAGGAAATGACCGGTGGAATTAATTCTGGATCACAAACCTGGCTATAATTTGTATCCAAACACAGGAAATTACTGGTGTAGCCAGTTCGCGTGGGATATGACTGATCCTTGTTGTGCTCAGAACTTCTTCCATGATGTCTCAAGAGGATCCTTCTGTGTTTGCTAAAGGTTTGTCCAGGGAAATGCAAGGGGTCAAAATTGTTAAAGCAAAATTGTGCAAGAATAGCAAGACGGCAAACCAGAGTACATGATACATGAACAGGACCAGGGTCCAAGCCAGGTGATCCGATTTCCAGTGAGAATCCAAAGGGTTATCCAGGGGTGTGTCAGGGCACAGTTCCAGGTCCGGTAACATTAGGGCTTTCAGATCAGATAGGGTTCAGGCAGGCTCAAATAATCTGGCACTCATGTCTGATCTGATACAGATTCAGGCTCAGGTAGATCAAATGAGCGGTAATGACAACAGGGCGGAGCTGAGTAGGTGGGTCTTGTGAGGAATCAGACCAGCAGCAGTGCTGAGATCATGACATTTCTAGCTGGAAACACTGGCACCATGCCTTAAGGATGTTCTACTTCAATGATGACCTGATAAAAGTTGATAGGGAGTGTAATAGAACTAGATACAGAGCGACATTGGAGGAAGACCTGTTAGAAGCAGGGAAAGTATTTCACACGCACAATAGGACAACAATCGTATATAACAAATATACACTACAAATTTAAAATACTTCAAATTATTTTAAACGGGAGTATTAATGCTGGGATTTCATCCTACAAAATATTGTGATTTTTATAATGATTTTTTTTTAATAATCGTTCTCAAAAGGAAAATTGATAAAAACAGCCCTGATAGCTGCACTAAAGTTAGAGCAGACTTGCAATAGAGACTTTAAGAGAATGGGAGACTTTAGTCTCAAATTCATTAACATAGAGAAAGTTCACTTGTGTATAAACTGTTCACTGTTTATAAAGAAAGGTTTTATTCTCCAACGTAACATAAATCTGATGCATTGGTTACAGTTATTTAACAAAGAGGTTGTAGGGTTACCTGATATAATCCCACCTGTCAATCAATCCAGGATGCTTGTCAGAGTTTAAGTAATTGAGTGATAATGGGCAAAAACACGCCTTACCTGCAGGAAAGGTACGCCCTTTATGTAAAATAAATTATTATGATTTTGCATTATGAATGAAAAGCAGACTTAGGAATTTCAGTACAAAAACTTAGAAAAAATTGCTAAATACTGTGAGTGTGGAGCATTTTTAACCAATATTACCAAAATTGAAAAAAAGTAATTTTGAAAAATGTTAAAGATAGACAAAGGCCTTCTGCTAACCGTACAACAGTGATTAATAGGAGCAATTTGTTTTTCAGTACGAAGGCAATGGGCAAATCTGCCTTTTTTTCATATTTACATTATATGCCTAACTCAGAAAGAGCTTGCTTTGCTTAGTTAATTACATCGCTTGTGTTACTAAGGGCAGTCAAGGCAAATATTTATACTAATATTTGTATATAAACTAATTATATTTGTGATAAAACATGCTTTAGATTTTTAACTTCTTGTTTAAGTATTTATCTACCCATCTTAGTAACTCTAAAAGGTATTAAACACAGCTTCTACACTTGCAGCCAACATGACTGTGTCCCTTATTATCCTTTCCCTTTCTGTTGAAAGCGTGGGCTTTAATGTTAATTTGTCTGTTGCTATCTTGAAATAACTTCCCTGACTTGATGTAGA